TTTGTGTAGAGAATATATGTATAACAGTGTTTATTGCTCAGCAAACTGTATGGTTTCCTCTACTTTGGTGTAGTTGAATAAGAAGAGAAGGGTGACAATAACTGAGTTTAGAGGGAAGACTCTACTGTCTATAAGGGAATACTATTGGAAAGATGGAAGAGAATGCCCTTCATCTAAAGGTAATAATTACATGCTTGAAGCCTTGGCTTCCCACCTCTTTAAAAGTAGTTTACAAATTACAACTAGATATGAGAAGAGCAGTTTTGCACATTTTTTTGTTGTTTTCAGTTTCCTTTTATGTTTTAAGTCATCCTCTTTTATGAATTGACTACCAACCACATACACTCCAGCAAATTCTAACTAAAAGTGTATGTTCATTCTCTTTGATCATCTGCAAAAGTACAAGATGGTGGGTCTTGGCCATATTAGTAGTGTGTTAATTGATGCCTTTTATCGTCAATAGGGTGGGGAACGTTTGTGTTTTTCTAGTTACATTCTTATAGATATGCTTGTAGGATGATTCATTTTTAGGTTATAAGCTAAGCCAAAGACTAGCTACATTTCAGCAAGTTATGTCACTGACTAGTGACCTTTCAAGTTAGGAATAAGAGAGTGAAGGACCAAATGTGTTTATTCTTATAATGTGACAAGCTATGCCAAGAATCAGTTGAATTATAAAAGTTTATATGGATGGTCCTTGTAGTAGTTATACACTTCATTAGTATTAAATCTAGTGAACACCAATTATTGTGATTAGTGAGGTTGTTTTTATCTGTTAATGAATAATTTCAAAAGTGCTTTGGGCTGATTCTAAAGGATTCACCTATAAGACTGTATGAGTACACAATTTAGCCACTTCTTCAAGCTTGGGGTCAACCTTGTATATGCACATGATGGATATAAGATATGATTGTTAGCTGTTTAGGAACTTCAAATGTTTAACATAAAATATGTGTCTTATATTCAATATTTTACATAAAAGATTCAATCTTAAAGATACATTGCATATGCCTCAAGGCATATACCTCATCCCAATAAGGCATATGTCTCAACATTGCATAGTTTGCGTAATTTGTGAGGCAAACCCCAGGGAGTTGAGGCATTGCAGAACATTGTTGGGAAGTGTCAATGTACTTCTGCTTTGTGTAATAATGGTCCACAAGTTAAACTGCATTGCTTTTCTAGAACTGAATAGCCCTGCATGCATGCAAACAATATGCCAATCTACGTGGCAAACGTCTCCAGCCACTACATCAGCTGGCAGGCAATCAGTCTTGTGCATCAATTTGGAAAAACTAATGATGTCATGCATACAATTTTCCTAATTTAGAAAGTGTTATTAATTCCCAATAGCATTCAAAGTAAGTTTATTAATAAATAACCCTAAAAGGCTATCTTCTAAAACAAGTTTTATTTCAGGATTTTTCATTGGATTCGAATTTTAAGATTTTGTGTGTGTGGGATATAGCAGAAATTCTATGTTCAAAGCCCTAGTCAGCGAAGCTAGTGTTATACGTGCTGAGGACCACCTAGATAAACGTTTCAATTTTTTTATTATTAAAAACTTAAAATAGAATATTAACCATAGAGTCCTCCATTACCTCAGTGTTTGCTCGATCTTAATCTGAGAGAGCAGCAGACTTGCTCTCGCAATAGTCATCATCTCCTAAGAGAGTGATCCAATCCGTGGGCCCATTTGGAACTTTGAAGTTCTTCATCAATTTCTCACTTTCCACTTATCACTGAAATTTACCTTATGCTAACTAGTCATGAACTCATGACTCCCAATGCACCACACCACAGTATTTCCTACAATAGCCCTCTTCGCCTTATTTATTGCGGTATGGATCTACAAATCTGCAATTCAATGATTTTCTTTTGCAATTCAATGATTCTCTTTGTGTGGTCTTCGAATTCGAACATGAACATTTTTACTTCTTCAATGGTAATTTACTACCTTCTGAATGCCATACCGGCTTACCCCTTTGGATTTCCAAAGAGTAGGGTGTAGCGGCCTCTTGCTGAGCAACCTTTCTTCTCCCATGCAACAGTTAGAAAAATGATGTGGTCAACAGTTAGAAATATGATAAGATCTGTAGCTGACACTTGAATGGAAAACGTAGTGCACTAGTGTCACTATTCAGCCATGTTTGATAATTTGATTCAAATTGGTTTTGGTATTACTTTCCACAGGAATAAGCTTAACTGCAGAGCAATGGGTTTCCTTCAAGAAGAATCTTCCCGCAATTGAGGATGCTATCAAGAAAATAGAAGCAAGAGTAGATTGAGGTGACATTCTATAGTTTAGTATGATATGACCATATATCCATGCTTCCATTGCTTTCCACCTTAACTAGTTATTTTTGTTGGAAAGTTACCTGTTTTTTTTTTAAATCATATTTTTCCATCATTTGTAATGGAGCCAAAAACTCACTATTTTTTGGCTTAAGAATATGATGGAATAAAGCAAAATGACTCACTAAACTGTCTGTGCTTCTTTGTTATGAAGCAGCAGTCAGTCCATGCAATTTTCAACGCAATTTTCACATGGGTCATCCGGAAACAGTCTCACTGTGCTTTAGTACAGGGGTAATGGGGTAATGATAATGATGATGATTATACATCAATTGACCACTCAAATTTGTTTCATGTAGCGTTCCAAAGGAACAAGCTTAATTGCTGAGCGATGGTTTCCTTCAAGAAGAATCTTCCTACAAGTTATGAAAGCTATCAAGAAAATGGAATGAAGTCTAGAATGAGGCGAAATTCCTATTTTAAAATATGACCCTGTATCCATGCCGTTTCGCTTTGGTTTTCAGGTTCACAGAACTCCTTGCTACATAACAATACATCTAAAACTTTGTTGCTGGACTCTTGGCCTCGAACTGGTTTGGGGAGCAATGTCTTGTATGGGCTCTTTAACTTGTTTGGTTTGGGGAGCAATGCTTTATTATCTGTGTTATTAGATACCATACCGAAAGATTAGGTCATGTTGAAATAACTTTGTTTTTTTCAATTGGTCGGTTTGTGGGTAAGACGCTACACGCAATTCACCCAGAGAGGGTGTTTTGCTTTCTTACATGCTAATAAATGACTGATAGGATACTTAGATACTTGCAGAAGAGATATTAGAAAAACTAGTTAGTACATAGTAGTAATGGCTCATCAGCTATTTTTTAGCTTTGATTACAATTAATGAGTTTGATTACAATTAAGAGATATTAGAAAAACAATTATATTTTTTTGACTATCTAAAAATATAATTGTTTGATAAAGAGGAAAGGAACAAATATTTCCTTTTAGAATAGGCTTTGGAACCTATATGCCATTATTCTATTTCATTTCATAGAACAAAAAACTTAAACATTCCCAAATTTGGTCCAAAATTACCCTTCACTCACGACCCGTTAAAAATAATTTCGTCAAGGTGATGCCATTCCGTTGGTTAATGGCCCAATGGGCGGTTACAAGGCGGGGGAATTACCCAATGGGGCGGGTACGGTTATATGTATAATCGTCCCGGATTCAACCGTTGCCATCTCTAAATAGAAATGAGAAGAGATGAATATTAGATGTAAAATCCAAATCTAAATAGGGGAAGAAATAGAGGACCTCTAATCATGATGTATTTTTTTGCATGTTCTTCTAAACCTATTAGAGTATCTGCTCCGGTTAGTCTTGGACTCGGGCCGGGTGGCCCGACCCGGAACCAGCCCGGGACCGGTACTGTGCTGAACCGGCCCGGCCTGGTGGCCCGGTCAGTGACTGGTCCGGGTAGGCTCGGCCCGGGAGTTCATGGTGCGGGCTCGGGTCACCCAAAAGCCGAACCGGCCCGAATGGACGGTTCGGGCCCGGTTTCGGGCTTTTTAATTTTTTTTTTCAATTTTTTTATCTTTTTGGGTTGGGCGGGGTATTTTGGGCCATTTGGGGGGTCAGGGGTAGGGGGGGGGGGGGGTTAATTAGGAAAAGGAAAAAAAATGACCCGAGGCCCGGCCTGGACCCGGTGGCTACCCGGGCCGGTCCCGGGCCTCCTTCAAAAAACCCTAGGCCCGGCCTGGGTCCATGACTAGCTCCAGTTATAGTCTAGCGTTTGGATTCGGCTGCTCCAGTTTCTCCCTTTAATGCCCTTCATTCATGCTTCGCATTTTTTTTATTTCGTTTCTATTACATTTATATTGTAACGATGTTTCTTTTTTAATTAGTCTTTAACTTTTTTTATTTTGATCCATGAAGCATGCAATAAAGAATTTATATGCACTTTCAGTTTCTTTTTTTCCGGCATGGCCTTTTATTGATGTACAATGATTTATATTTATTAAGTAAATTGTAGGGAATATTGTATTTATATGCAATAGCTAAAAATAAAATTCAATACTAATTTTCTTATATGTCTTTTTACTTGCAAATGATTATTCTTAAATAGCCAATTTAACAAAAGTTTGCTGACAAAATCAACTATTGTCAACCAGCTATCATAACCATCTAATGGAAGCTTGCCAAACAAGGCCAATATATGTGTATAGTGTATACCATAGAAATGTTAAGATATATAAGTACTCATATTGATCTTTTCGTTTGTCGAACCATATTTCTCATTTTTTTAATTGTCTTAAAATTTTGGTCACTTCTCATTCTAATCAATTAATTTGTGGTTTCACTTATTTTCTTTGATATTTATCCTTTAACATTTGAATGTGAATCCAGTATCCTTTAATGCAGTGAATCCATGCATGGCCAGTGAGCAACTTTTTTAATAATGGTATATTTATCCTTTAACTTTTTAATACTAGTATATGACAAGTTTTTTATTTTATTTTCGGTCACACGAATGTCTAAAAATAAACATCGTTATATTTAGTGAAATTGAATACTACCTCCGTCCCATTTATATTGTCCCGGAAGAAAGTGACACGATTATTAAGAAAAGTGGGTTTGTGTGGTTGATATTAATTGATAAAGTAAGAATAAACTAAGAATGATTTAGAACCACACAAATTTTGCCAAATATGGTATGAGACAATATAAGTGGGACTTCCCGAAAAGGTAAAACGGGACAATATAAATGGGACGGAGGGAGTAAGTTTTAGTGATATCTCGGGAATTTTCGATAAATAATAATACACTTGATATTACTATATGACAACTTTTTGATAAAAAATTACTTGGGATGAGAGAAAAATATACTACATATTTCATATATATTGTATTGTAACATAAATGTAATATGCATGAAGTAGAGAATGTTTTGTTATCATGTATCCAAGGAGGGTAACTATTGTGCCATTTCTTTCAAGCCTCACTCATTGGTTTCTTGTTTCCCTGGGTCAAGCCAACTTCTGACCCAACTTCTACAAGAACTTGCTTCCTTTCAACACCTTTGCTGGATTTGTAGTACTTCGCATACAATAGAATTTGGGCAATCCCAAGTAGCACTCCAATACCATTAGGTGCCTAAAAATTGCCCAAACAATTTCTACATTATGGATATTCTTACTAAAATGGCATTGGAAAAGACTATATGCTATTTTTTATTTTATACCTAAAATGGCACATATTAATATAGTCTTCCGTTTCTTTATAGTCCTGTGTAATGTGTATACATAAGCAAATGTACAAAATTTCGTTTTTGATATTGAGTAAATAGTTACCAGAATAAAGATTTCCATTCGCATAAGGGCATAGAGACTCCAACAGAGACTATTCACTAATGAACAAACTGAAAGGGACAATGGCATGTATTCCACACTCTTCGTGGTGATCACCAATTTCTGTATAGCAATAAATTTCAGAATTTAGAATTGCAAAACTATTTACATTGCATTATATTTGCATTACATTACATTACTTCCTCCGTCCTATTTTGGTTGTCTAACTTCCCTTTTTGGATTGTTCACCTGTCCCAAAAATGAATGAATGCCATGTTCCTTTTTTGTGACAAGAAATAGGTAATCTTTATCATTTCATCATACATTACTCAAATGTCAATAACAAATTTTATTTTTCAACCACTTTATTAATAATCGTGTCAAACTGAAACAAGACATTCAATGTGGGGCGAAGCCTGGAGGTAGTATATTATATTGATTGATGTTAGTCATCCCAAATACATCTTTTTGAGATTTGGCTTCGATGTTTTTCTTGTTAGGTTGTTGCATCGCTTGACCATCATTGAATATCGAAATTGTGGTGTAATAGAATGAGACTAACCGGTAAGTATCTTATAATAGTCGAATGACATCACTCTTACGCTCTCAAAGAGAAGGTAACAAGATTGAGTCTTGTCCCAAATCCCAATTTAGTATATATGTTGATATAATCATAGAAGAGAATCAAGAGATACTATAATACTAGTTATGTTAGAAGCATATAAAAAAAAGGAATGAAACTAACCATGCTTGCCAAAGGAGAAGCGTACATGACAATACTAGCTAGTGCTGCAATGCCACCAACAACAGCAGACCGAGTTTCCCAAGTATGTGCAAGGGTAATGACCAGAGCAACCAGAGCTGCAAAGAAAATAACTTCGACGAGGATGGCGACCCCTAATTCCAACCTTTTTCTCTTGTCTGAACAAAAGAAAAATACAAACAAGAAGACGACTTCAATGGCTACGCCCGCGCCATTGATGGTCATCACGAGCAGGCCCTTGGGGTGAATAATGGGAGTTCCATACACTAACCAAAGGCCACAGTTGATGAATGTGGCTAGGTATGGTGCAGATGAGAAATGTGCTACTTTTCCTTCACTCCATATTTTCACAATTGCAGGTCTGCAAATAAATTTACAATATTAACTTGAAAGTAGTTTTAAGGGAAAAACATTGGTTGTTTTTATATACATTGTGGTGAGAAAATGAAAAGAAGACCTCTTGCACAAATTCAATATTTGCTTCATATATCCTTAATTATATTGCAAGCTTTCAATTATTAATGTAAAACTTGATAAATGATTTTTATCTTTTATTTCTTTCAACTGAATGATGTCAGAAACACGAGAATGTAGAAAAAAAACCAGGAACTTTGTTCAATGCCTACTTGATGTTTTTAAATGGACTCAAATTTTCTAATCTGTTTTGTTCTGTTTTTGTTTGCTCTATTTAAGTACAGAAATTGCCCTAAATAGGATTAATAATGTTTTGAAATTCCAAAATATGAATATCGTGTTTTTTATTCCTGAATAAGAGTAATCTGCCAAGTTTGGGAAAAAATGTCATGTTAAAAGCCTTGTAATGCCAAACTTGACAGAAATTTACTCATATTCAGGGAATAAAAAACATGATACTTCTATTTTGGAATTTCAAAACGTTTTTACTCCTATTTAGGGAACTCTCTCATTTAAGTATGGTCTAATCTTTTAGATTTGTAGGCTTTATGTGTATTTTGACGCATATAATACCGGGGTACCGGTATATCATGTGCAGGACCGTCTAATGAATTTGGAGGCCGCAGTTCTAAATGTAAAACAGAGGCCCCAAATTAATATATCATTGTTTTTAAAAATATCAATCCAAATACTCATACTCAAATCAATTGAATACTCATTAAGAACTAAAAAAGTGAAAGGACTAACGAAAAATGATGCATCTATATTTTCTTCCCTACTAATTGTATTTTACTGATTAGTATTGATATATCCGTACTATGTAATACTAAAAGAAATTTAAAAAATTGGGGTCTCATAAATTTGGAAGCTAGGTTGTGAATAACCTATTGATTCCCCTAAAAAATGACTCTGGCCATGTGCATGGTATACAGATACTTCACATGGTACCACCGGTATACAAACCTATTGTTTTTGTTTTTTAAAAGTAACTCATTTTAACTACAAACATTATTGGATTATTTAATTAAAAAACAAGGAAACAAAACTGATTGAACAAAAGTAACCGTACAAAAAAAACAAAATATCTCGCTCCCTGAAGAGGATCGAGACTAGATCGACATATTGTTTAGTCGAATAAATAGACTATATCCTATCAAAAATATTATAGAAAAGTGATGTTTGTACAAATGAGTTGGCGATCATATCATTCATGTCGGACCATGCTTGCTAAGTGCCTAGTCATAGCCAATGGAGACAGCAGAGGAGTGAATGTTTTCTTTTAGTCAAATTCTTTGTGTGTATACCCTGGTACACCCTAATTATTTATAAAAAATGCACAAATACAGACACTTTTTGGTAAAATTGTCGGTATGAAGAAAATTAGTTTTCAAATCTGTTAGGCCGGTTACACGGAAACAAATGTCAGTGTACACAGACACTTGTCGGTGTACACAGAAACTAGTTGTCGGTGTAGACAAAAAAGTGGCGGTGTGAACTAATTTGGTTTGGAAGTCTGTCAGAGGGTTGGAAAACCAGTGTCGGTGTACACCGGCATTAGTTGTCTGTGTAGAAAAAGTGTTTGTACATGTACAATTTTCGTCTGTACATGTACAACTAATGTCGGTTTACACTGACACCGGTTTTCCAACCCTGTGGCAGACTTGCAAACCAAATTTGTTCACATCGGCACTTTTTTGTCTACACCAACAACTAGTGTCTGTGTACTCCGACATTGGTTTCCGTGCAACTAGCCTGACAGATTTGAAAACTAATTTTCTTCACACCGACAATTTTTCCGAAAGTGTCGGTATTTGTGTTTTTTTGTCTGTGTGAATGACAAATAATTAGGGTGTACCCCATGGTGTATCCCAGGGTGTACACCAGAAATTATTCTTTCTTTTAGCACTGACTCCATTGTTGTACTGATTTTATGATTTATAATTATTCATTTGGTCAGTTATCGGAGTATAAGATTTTTTCCTACCATCTAACACCATCAATATATGCACTCAAGGATCTTCTTTTTAATTAAAGGTGTACTTTTATTAATTATGATTAGACAACATTTTGTGTGTGTGAATGGGTGTGTTTTAAAAGGTTAAACATTTCAATGTAGAAACATAAATTTGGAGTTTAATTTTATTGTTAATATTTCAAATTCATTCTTAAAAGAATATCTGAAAGATGTATAAATAATAGTTTAATCAGGAGATCTTAATTTTAGCACCTCAATCTACTTAAACAAAAAAAATGGGTTTGAAAATCTTCAACCATTTAAACTTCGTATTTTTTACTTCATACGAAGTATATAAAATATTGATTTCATATGAAAGATTATAACAAGTTACACTCCCTGAAATTAACTTCCACTTTTCATATTTGAGATGTCCCAAAATTAAAGTTTTACTTGGTATTTTATTTCTTATTTTGGTAAACTTTTACTTTGAAAGTACTCATACTCATTTACCTCCTTTAATTATTTGGAACAGTAACTTTGAAAAATCAACTTTGACGTTTTTCCTATTTAAAACTTGTGAGGTCAAACGTGATAGTTAATTTTGAGATGGAGGGAATACTAATTTTGATATACTATATATTATGTATTATTTGTAAACATTAAATTAAAGTACAAATAAAAAATTATAGAATTTTCTTAAAATAAGATTTGTTTGCTTGGGTCGTGCACATGCTCCCCGCATCACAAATAGCCTCCTTCCCATTTTCTTCCAGCTACCTTCTTCTAGCAAGCCAAAAAGGGTAAATGGGGGTGCCAAAATATCACCAGTTCACCACCTTGATGACATGTATATATCCACTTTGACACCTCCAAATACATGGATTGAAGGGAATCAGGGATTTTGGGGTGAAAACCCATAAAGGCTTTTTCACCCCGGATCTTGTGATTACTGATTAGCCTTAGAATAAAGACCAATAGTTGCAAATAACTCACTGCTTTGTTTCCAAGGTGAGTTTGATTTTGTTTCAGTTTTCTTTCTACTTTAAATTAGAGTCAATTATTGTTAGTTACAAGTTGAAGAGTGTTGGTACTTCTTATCAGATTTTAGGATCTATTAGGAGTAGGTTGGTATTGATCAGAAGCAATGCGACTCTAATTAGAATCGGAAAAATAACTGAATTCTCAAAATGATCACTGGTTTGATGTGCTCATTTAAGCTAGGTTCAATTCTGTTTTTTAGTCCTATAAGGGTGATTAGATTCTTTAATCAACTGGTGTACATCTTTTGTACATTCGTTTGTCTCCCACATAAAGAATTATCTGTCTACTGACAACTCTACGGAATTGTTTGCAGATAGACAATTCTATGTACGTGAGACAAACGAACGTATGAAATATGTACACCAAAAAGTGTACACCAAACATTTTTCTTCTTGAATTTAATACAAGTGATTTCCCTTAAAAAATACAAACTTCAAAACAATCACATACTGTACTACATTTTTACTCCGTATATTACCTCAACATTTAGAAAATTAGAAATATACTACGTATTAATTAATCTGAAAAAAACAACTCGGATAAAACATTTGATTTTGTGCACTTAAAATTAATTAATCTGAAAAAAAATCCGTGATTAAATACAATACGTTAAGATGATCAGTCTAGTAGTCTACTTTTAAATTTATTTTAGATCGATGGTCATGAGTTAGGAAAAAAGGGGGTTAATGCACCTAATCCTTTGATATAGAATTACAACACATTAATCCACCTGGTTTGAAATATGTGTCAAATCCCCTAGAATTATATTACCTCCGTAGTTATTATCTTTGACCTTTTCAATTAAAAATGATAAATTTGACCAATTATTTTAACTAATATATCTATGGAAAATTTAATATTTGTATATCTTTATGACAATATTTTTAATAAAGAACATTTTTATATCATTTTTATATTATCAATACTTCTAAATATATAAGTATACAATTAGTCAAGTTAGACACCATTGACTTGAAAAAGTCTGACTAATTAAAACGGAAAGGAGGGAATACTAATTATTTACGTGTAGAACCAAAATCAACAATTTGAAAGTCTTTTTTCTTATATTATGATTGACTATGCAAGTTAGTTTTTTATAATCTCTAAATTACACAAAAATGTAAATCACTTCTTTTGTATTTGACAATTAAATTTATTCATAGGAGTTCTGCTAATGAATAATTTTAACACATGAAATTTGACGCATTTTTTAAACACAACGGATAATATACTAAACTTCTACGTCTCCGTCCTACTATTATTGTCCCAGTTCTTATTCACTTGGTCACACAAATAACTCTTAATCTCTTACTTTATATATCAAAATTTTATGTAATTTAATTCTAATTTTTGCGACTTTGTAAAGCCTTTTGTTGTAGTTTCTAAACAAGTTTTTTTTTGTCTTAAAAATAATTTGATTGTAAACAAAGATTCATTTAGTTTATCAATTAGTCAAGCTTTTTAAAATGACAACGGAAGCATAATAGTGGAATGGGTATGTATAATAAGAATGAAAAATTGAAAATAATAATCTCAACTATTGCCGGTCCGCTGATAATAATTTCAACTATTGATTATTTTTGTATAATCCCAACTATATGGACCGTCCGTCAATAATGGTCCATGACCAGATATTACCTACTAAAAAGTGAATTTTAAATAGAAATTAAGTGTAAAAATTAAAAGTTGAAATTATTTATAGAGATTACTTGTTATATCTCTCTTCATCCACTTCAGAAACTACAAGAATTTATTTATAGGAACCATTATTGGCGGGAGGTCCCTAAAGTTGGGATTATTCTGAAATAATCGATAGTTGAGATTATTATAAGCGAACCGCCAATAGTTGAGATTATTACTATCAATTTAGAAAGAGAAAGTTTGGTGTATTATTGTACTAGTATCTCATAAAAGGGTCTATTCGCTCTGCAAAACTGACAAGATATACGGAGCGAAAAAGGTCTGCGTTAGTCTTATCAAACTATGAGCTCTACGTAAGAATTTTCGTACAAATGTGTCATATCCTAATTAAAAAACAATCATGCGTGTGAAAGGTTTCCTTTTGTGCGAATCCCATTCACACGGAGAATATTTTGTCTCTTACTCCCTCCGTCCCTAATAACTTTGCCAAGTTTGACTGGCACGTGGATTAATAAAGTAAAAACTATGTGGTTGAGGTTTGTGCAGAGGAGAGAGAATTAACTGGAACCACAAATTCTTTACTTAAAAGGGAAAGTGGCAAAGTTAGTGGGACATCCAAAAAAGGAAAGTTGGCAAAGTTATAAGGGACGGAGGGAGTAATTCTTAAATAAAAAAACTTTGCACAAATATTATGTGTGCAAAAATGAGTATAAGAGTGAGAAGTTTTTTTTAATTGAAAGCGCATATTACTAAATTGAAAGAAATTTCATACTCGGTATTTCATTTTTCTTTTTATTTTTGTATGCATTCTTTATTTCTTATTCAATACTCCTTCCGTCCCATTTATTTTGTCTCGTTTTACCTTTTCGGGAAGTCCTACTTATATTGTCCCATACCATATTTGATAATATTTGTGTGACTCTAAATCATTCTTACTTTATTTTTACTTTATCAATTAATATCAACCACACAAACTCACTTTTCTTAATAACCATGTCACCCTCTTGCGTGACAATATAAATGGGACGGATGGAGTATATATTTCAAGTAGTACAGTAATTATAATTTATAATTTAAGTATATACTCCCTCCGTCCCAAAAACAACTTCCCACTTTCCAGGAAATGGATGTCCCTAAATTAACTTCACACACCAATACTTTTCTTATTTGGCAAATTATCTACATCAAAACAGTGCCAAATAGTGCCAAACAGTGTTCAAACAGTGTCAAACAGTGTTTGTACAGTGCAAAACAATGCACCCAACAGTAAAATCAAATTTATTTTTTAAATCTGTGTGATTGTCAAACTGTGACATTGTTTTGGGACGGAGGGAGTATACATTGTCAGCATATTGTTTAGAGATTATAAAATATATATTATGATTTATGGAATATTTTCTTTTGGATGGTACATTCTGAAATACTACGTAGTAAATAAATAATCTGTAATCAATAACCAACCAAAATTACACAGCTGACTTTTCATTAGCTTTTTTTAATTGTTTTCTAATTCTGTAAAAGACGTATATGTATATACGAAGTAGGTTTTAGCTCAAATAAATACAGTTCTTCTCATGAAAAATGGGAGTCTGTCTTGTGCATTTAGCTCAAATAAATATAGTTCTTCTCATGTAAAATGAGAGTCGGTCTTGTGCATTAAATTTGAGAGCTAATGATTCAAAATAAGTCAATAGTGCATTAGACTTGATAAAAAAAAGTGGCGACGGTTTATTTATTAAACTAATGTTTTTTTATTATTACGAAAAGTGAATCACAAACATGTAATAGTGCATCATGAGTAAATAGTGCATACATTCACACTTTCCACAGGATTTTACTCATATTTAGACAAATTTTCCTTTTGTCACTCTTTTTAAGAAGAAAATTCAATTCCCTCTACAGAGCAAAACCTATATCTAGGCATGGCATTCCAATATAATACTATATACTACGTATGAGTAATATGGCATTATATTAATACTATCATTTTTAGTGAATTTTTACTTTTCTATTATGGGTAACAAATATGGTCACTAATCATACATGTTTGGGAAAAGGGGCAAATAAGCCCTCGAACTAATCAAAAAAGTGCAAATAAGCCCTTTTGTAGGAGGTTCCGTCCGGTCATCGTCATTTGGGGAGGTTCACGGTGGAATTTTTTGATGAAAATTTTTGAGCATCTTATTCATTAAGTCTAGTTTAGTCCTACTGAATTTCAGCTAAAAATTCAACCGGGAAGATAGTCAAATGAATTTTTGAAGATAACTGCACAGTTAAACAACGCAGTATTTTTACGAAAATCATTTGAGTGCCTTCCCGGTTGAATTTTTAGCTGAAATTCGGTATGGCTAAACTAGACTTAATGAAGAAGATGCTCAAAAAAATTCATCAAAAAATTCCACCGAGAACCTCCCCAAATGACGATGATCGGACAGAACCTCCTACAAAAGAGCTTATTTGCACTTTTTTTTATTAGTTCGAGGGCTTATTTGCCCCTTTTCCTACATGTTTTTATAACCAAAGTATCTCAACTTGTCTGAGTTGCATCAATATTGTTCGATTGGTACTCATCAATTAGGAGTGTTTGGAATTGACTTTGTTTCTGTTTATTTTTTAAAAGCGGGAGCAGAAGCACAATTAGTTTTTTAAGAGTTTGGTGTCCTCCGGCTTCTCAAAAGTTTCTTCGAAAAGCAATCCGGAACATTTAGAAGCACTTCTTCACTTCCACTTAAATGCTATAATACCCTATTATGCTCTCTAAAGGTGTAGAAACAATTTTAAAAAGCAAATCTAAACACCCCTTATAGTGCGTATGTGTTAAGTGTCTCACATACATGTTACTGTAGAAGTGAAGTACTACTTGAACAACACTACTAAAAAATGTGTGAATACATTCGTTAGTTCTAATGTAAATCAATAATCAATACACTCTTTACTCAATAATCCATGTAGGCATATGCATGTAATAAGGGTTTGTTTGCAATCAATTAAAAAAAAAGTGATTTTGGTTTTTTTTAAAGAAAAGAGCACTTATTTTACCAAACACTATCAACTTTTACTTCCTCAGTTTTCGTGTAGAATCTACTTTTTACTTTTTCTATTACGCAAAAAGCACTTATTTTACCAAACACTACCAACTTTTACTACTAATCACTTTTTCTCAAAAAGCAATTTGGTAACTTATTGGGTTACCTAATTGCTTACAAACACAAGCACTATAATTACATAAACCTTAGCCTTCCAATTCTACCTGATAAATGTTTCTAAAATTAAGCTTAATTATAAACTAATTAAATGATTTTCCAACAAGATGTTTAACTTTCAACTTTCAGCAGTCACCAATACTCATCATCATTCATCATTTACGTACAGATATATCCAAAAATGAACTCACAGGCGTTCTGGATTATATTATTGCCTAAAAGCAATTATGTTAGATCCTTAAACAAAGTGCTGAGCTAATAAAATATGGAGCTTACAAAGGTGACAAGAACAAGACCAGAGATATAACGTTCCCTGGAAATGATAAATAAACACATTTGCATCAGTAGCGTTAACATCATGCAAGCCTGCAAGGTATATTATTTGTGATACAATATTCAATCCTAAATGTGAAGATAAGTTAATTAAGATGGAAAAAATAATATTACATTCCATTTTATTGCTTTTTAATCATTCCGGGGGGCGCAATGCGGAATGAAATAATCAAAGTAAATTATTAATTAATTAATTAAACAAATACAATAGGGAGATTAAGGGTGCTAGACTTTCAAACAATAGGGCATACGGAGTAGTTTAATTGCTAGAAACATATACATAAATACAATTAGAGGAAGCTAAGCAGTCCAGCTTAATTGATCGCCGACAAATTTTCTCATGCGGGAGATCTCGAGTCCGAAACTCCATAAAATTAATATTTCAGAAATATTAGCGAAATAAGACTTATATACAAAACACGACTATAAGTTACTATACTATAGTCTAATGATCATAAGAGATCACATTACTAGCTTGAAGAGAAATGAGCAAATTGCAGGAGGATTTTGGAAATCATTAATCAAGTTGAAAAGAAACTAACCGATTATGCCAATAATAAAGCGTGCAGTGTCCACAGGCAGCATGGTTAGGAGTTAGGACGATGCTAATAAGTGTTTTAAATTAAACGATGAAGTTAACTTCAGATAAATAGAGAGGAGATTAGGAAATGGAGAGTGGATAAAGTAATTACCTTATGCTCAAATGGCTTCAATTTATAGACCACAGATGGTTCAGTCCAATGCAAGTGGTTAGGTGGAACCATTAGCCTAGCTTATTAGGCACCTAGTCATTGGAAATCACATCTATTCTGTTCTAATGACGTGATTACAGTGTTAAGACAATTACGTAAAACAATGAGGGTTTTCAAGGGAATATTATAATGTACTCCGTATATAATGATGTTGTCTGTACGTAATAAACATTAAAGATCCGATGAGGGAAATATTGTCATGCATGTGTCACCATCTCAATAATTCACTCATAGAGTATTCCATATTCCCGTTCTAAATTTAAAAAAAATCACGGCTAAATTGATTCCACGATAGGGGAAAAATAGATACTCCCTCCGTCCCTAATCTTTCTCCCATTTCGGCTAGGCACATTATTTAAGAAAATGAGTTTTGTGTGGTGGAGAATTGTGCAAAGGAGAGAGAAATGTGTGAAAATGTGTAAGAATGGTTGTGAACCACAAATTCTTTGCCAAAAAGGGAAAGAGGCGATAATTTTGGGACGGATGAAAAAGGAAAGTTTGAAGATAATTCAGGGACGAAGGGAGTATTTTTTTAGGGGTGGGCGCGGTCCAGAATGATTTGGTAAATTAGCAAAACTCGTAATGTATCCGTGAGGTTTGTAACGGTTCGGTACGGTCCGGTTCTAAGGCTAGAACCATTCAGTACCATGTCGTTTCGGAACGGTACAAAACGGTTCGGTACAATGCCAAACACATACCGAAACATTTGAACAAATTTTGCAATTAGTAGATATCATCACACGAGCCAATTGACGTGAAATTTTGATATAAATACAAGAAAGTGCATACTTAATACTAGAAAAGATTCAAGAGATTGACATTTTTGTATTTAAATTCAAAAACACTCAAATAGTGAAATGAATTTAGTAAAAGTATAGCAAAATGACAATATACAATCATATAATATCATCTTTATTAAATTCACGAGAACATATAAAAAGAATATCGTTAAATGATTGAACAGAATACAAATATTTAATGTTCTTCTTCTTTGTTCTAAGTTGAATATTAATCCTAATATTGTTGATAGTTGAACCGTAAGAGGTGTGATTCAAACCATATTAATTAAGTAACTAGAAATTAATAGTCATTAATGTTTTTTAAAACTTTGGCATTCTTTCATTATATACCAAATATAACATAAATTAATTTTCTAAAAGGAAAAAAATAATATGGAGTAATATTTATATAACACACACTTAACTATGTTAGAGATGCATGAATACATACTTGGGCTATAATGTTGTTGGTCTATAGAAGATATTTATGGGTATGGAAAAATATAAAAAAAATCTCAAAGACATTATTTTTGAACGGTTCGGTCCAGTATTTTTCGGTTCTCAAAATTTAGGATCGGTCCCATATCCGTTTGAAACGGTACGGTTTCGGTTCGGGATAAAATTTTATAGAACCATTTAAATACCCGATATTCAGTTTGGTACCATTACGGACCGGTTCCATCCCGGTTTGGTGCGGTTTTTGTGCCCACCCCTAATTTTTTCGATCACAATTTGCTCAATTTCAAATCAAAAATCACGTATTCTGTTCTAATAACACTTCTACGGTTTTGAAAGCCATATTTGTGACCACTCATCCAATTGGACACAAATAGGACCTCATCTGAAGAAAAGAAGGTACGGTTTTCTGCTAAACCGTACATTACCCTTCCCCAAACGATTTTTTCCAATCAAACCCTTCTTCGATGTCCTATCAATTCCATAATTGCAGAGAAGAAGCTAAGGTACAGTTCTTTGCCACACCACCACATGCTACTCCACGTCTCCACCGTCACACATCGTCACCCGCCGCTCCACCCTCACACTCCATCACTGTTGTAGGGAAGTTCAAATCCCTCTCTCAAAGTTCACCACTGTTGGTCGACATTGTCTTATTCTTCTTTCGCGGCTTCGATGTACTTCAAATCAAGTGCATACTTTCACTCCCAGATTTGTGTCGACTGTTTCTTCAAAGTTCACATCTAAAGTTCCCGGTTGCTAGGTCTCAGATCTGAACTTTTTTTGCTCTGGAGACAACGATTGAAATTGACGGTGACCTATTTCGGGATGATCATATCCGATATCATCAGATTTTGAGAGGGGATGACCGAATGGGGATGGATAGGGGGCTACGACCAGGTAACTAATTGGATTAGATAATTGTAACTAATGAGATTGTGTAACTGTAACTTATTTTGTCAGATAATTGTAATTTGTAACCGGTCAGATTTGGTAACTGTAACTGACTGGGTTGAGTAATTGTAACTAATTGAGTCAGGTCACTAGACGGGTTGGTCACTGAAGCGATTATGTCACTGTGCGAGTTAGGTCACTGGGTCGAGTTTTGTCACTGTCATTTGTAAGTGACGAGGACCGGGGTAATTTAGTAAGTCTCAATCTTATTAATCACATTTTTGGAACTTTTTAAAAAGGTCTCTTTTTTGTCCAATAGCTTAATTTTAGTAATATTAGTGGACAAACCCCAACTATTATTCCAACTTTCCAAGTGGACTGAAACATACCAAACTAAATAGCCAAATCAGTTTAATCAAGTTCGTTTGATGCCTCATATAATTATACGTAGTAATACAATTGGGAGACATAACTGATAAAATTAATGACTTTAATCATAATATGCCTCTGCCTCATATAAAGTTTCTCCCATGACTTTTGTATTTTATGTCTTCTTGATGTCTATGTCTCATAAAGTAATTTAACACATTATCCGTAACAGATCGAATGCCACACAAGTTTCATACTTCGTATATATTTTGGTCGTAGTCTTTTTCAAAAACATTTTTAATTGACTTCCCAAGTGAAATTTTTTGTGGACTGTAATCTAAACTTAATGAAAAATATGTTTACAAAATTTCATCAAAATTTCACCAGAAAGCACCTCAAATGGAGGCGATCGGCGCTTCCGATCAGTTCAGACCGTTGAGATATTAAAATTAAAGTTCTCATAAATGCCTATCTCCTACTATATAGGTAATATAGGGATAGGGAGTGGTGAAATGAGAATGATTCTGAACTGTTGGATTGTATTATCAGCGAACTGAAATGTGCATTTGGTCATACTGGAATGTGCATTAAGTGCAATAGAAATGTGCAGAATGAAAAGTAAAACTCAATGTGCATTACATGAAATTGAAATGTTCAGAATAAAAGGCACAAAGATGCCAATAAATCGTAGTTTTTATTCTGCACATTTCAGTTTCATATAGTGCACATTTCAGTTTTTCCTAATGCACAATTCAGCTTCACATAATACCATTGTGCCTTACCTTTTGTGTTGCACATTTCTATTTCACCTAATGCACATTTCAGTTTCACTTAATGCACATTCAGTTTCACATAATACAATCTAACGGTACAAATTTATTCTCATTTCTCTCCTAAAATCATTTTTCCACTTTGAACCTAATTTTATAGGGATATATTCATTATTTACCATGAGCAAGAGGTAATTTAGGGATATATTCATAAAAGTTGTCATGTATGTACCGGTGAATCCAATTCCTACAAAAGGTAGATAAGTAGATTGATGTGAAATTGATATTTGCATAACTTGAGGGTTGTAAATTAGACGCATGGAATTGGAATGTTGTGCTAAATCTTGAAAATGATCGGCGAAATATGCTGTCCTTGGATAGTTGGATTCAATATATTTGCAAAGAATACTTCAAAATCTTACAAATGTTTCATAGATTGATTATAAAATTGACGTATCATTAAAATCATTTCCGCCGGTCAGTTCTTGGAATCCAAATACATATTTATATGTCAAGGAAAATCAAATCCCGTGTGTCCTTAGTCATATTTATAGTATCAAAAGTGGAGTTTTCAAATATTAATATATAGAATTATTGGAATCCTAATATTGCATGTTAAGGAAAACCCCAAGTGTCCTTCACTTCTTGGACAATATTTACAGAATCAAAAGTGAGTTTTTCAAATACAATGTCTACAATTAAAGAAACTTTTGAATTATTTCTCAAATGAATTTTTCCCAAGATCAGAGAGATGTACGTACATTCTTGAAAAAGAATTTCAACGAATAACTCATGATCCATAAAATTCTTAAATAATTAAGGAAATATGAACATTGTTCTGATTAAGATTGTCTCCTTTCTGTTTTCATTGCCAAAACTTGGAAATTTAGTTAACTTAGTTAGTTTTATTAATTTGGATTGTAAAAAAAATGGAAAAACTGTCAAATAAGTACTTGTGCTCTCGCGAAAAAGTCAATTGAGTCATACTTTTTTTTCAAATCAATCAAGTCCATCAAATTCAAAAAATTAACCAAATTGAAAGTACGAGGACCTATTTCAAATACTACTAAACTAGAAGGGTTTTTATATTATTTAAAACACGTATATTGCTAATGATGTTTTTACTTAGACTTATTTCAGTCCCATAACAGAACAGATTTAACAGACCAGACTAGACCATAATTCAACAATTATAAAATACACATATGCTAGATATCTATTAAACCAAACCAAATTAGTTTAGATCAGAGTAAGCTAGACAAAATTTAAATATATCAAATCAGGTAAGATCAGAAAATTTCATTTTTTTTTGGGCCCGAAAAACCACCATTGATGGTGTGGTAAATGTCGGGTAACATTTACCTAATAAATAAATTCAAAAGATCCGAATTACAAGAGTAAAGATTGAGAATGGAAATACAAAAGCCTTGCGGGCTAAAACTAACTAAAAGCAAAAGATAGAGTTTGTGGGTCTGCTCCAACATTGCGCATAAGTCCAAGCAACTCTACGATCGAACATAATAAGTCCAAGGAAGGGAATGTTGGACTATTAGGGATTTCATCTTATTACGATTAAAGATAGAGAGAACGAGAGAGAACGAGAGGAGGACGATGTCAGAAAATTTCATTCCGATAACAAACCTCCTAAAACTAAATTTTCTTTTGATGTAAATCAGTGGAGGACTCGGGGGCATTGAGGTCAAGCAACAGTGCAACACCACTCCCGGTCCCAAAAACCAGTATTATTACTCAGGTGATAGACTCGTGCCCCAACTCCTGATGGGGTTGAATATCATTAGTTCTTAGATAATCATATAGACTTGAGTGTTGTAGAAGCAACTAGAAAGAAACATTGATACGATGGGAAAATTAAACATTAGTTCTTAGATGATTATGTAGACTTGAATGTTGTAGAAGCAACTAGAAAGAAACATTCAATGTTGTAAAACAAATTGTGTTACTATTTAGATCTAGAACCCAAAACATTATTATTTTGATCTCGAGTATTGTATAATTAAGTAGAACAACTTTATATTGAGCATTGCCATGAAGCATTATAGATTGAGTAGAATGGTGTGGCTGGGCTACAAATGTGCAGAGTTATATTTAAATAAATGTGCATGATAACAGATAAAATAAGTGTGGACATTTGAAATTTATTGGGTTAATTGTGATGGTCAATGGTCATTGATCTTTGGGCCTTGTCAAAAGAAAGATAATGATATGGACGCCTTGAGAAGAAATTTAGTGATTGAATTAATTAGGATTATTTAAAATATTCAATTAATTTAATTGTCCTATTAAGTTTGAGCCCATTATCAAATAGTGGCTCAATACATAAGAGACATGTTCCGATTGATAAAGAGAGAAATGAATTTGGTTAAGAAAATCTGTTTGTATGCATGGAAAATGGTTGCGAACCTTGTTAAAAACTGTCTAGATACATCTGACAGATGTTGATTTTTCTAGCTATTAAAATGCAAGCAAATGGAGCCCAAAGTTCATTTCCATTGAGGCCCAAGGGATATGGACGAATTTGCTAAACCCTAAAGCATATTTTCAAGTCCTTCACACCTATAAATAGGGGTCTCAGTTGAGATAAAGAGGGAGAGAACTTCCGGTCAAAGAACCACTACAGAAAAGCTCTGAAGAACTCCCGAGAGGCTCTGAACGATTCCGAAGAAGAGGAAGAGATCAAGCCACAAATTTATTAAGAATATACGAATAATCCTTTGTGATTTCGTCCATTCTTGATAAAATAGGTCCAAAAGCTGAAGAACGTTTGAAGATCTGAAGAATGAAGCTCGAAGATTATATTCAAAGATCTGAAGAACAATGCTTTGAAGATTCGAAGATCTGATGAACGAATCTTTAAAGATTTGAAGATATTCATATGAAGATTGAATCAAGATTCAATTGTAGATCAAGACATATATCTCGGGAAACCCTTAACCAGAAGATCAATCCATAAACCGACCCTTTTGTTGAAGATCAAGCTATTTGAAAATCGGATGCCCTTCAAGCTGAATTCTGCATTCAAGAAAATTCAAAGATCCGAAAAACAAAGATTCGACGACTCGAAAATCTCAAGGACGAAATATTCAAAGATCTGAAGAACTTTCGAATTTTTGAAGGATTAAAGATTTAATTTTGAATTAAATTTTTTGATTATATTATCTCAAATTGCAAGTTAAGAATCAGAGGATTCATATTTAGAGATTGTACCCAATATTCTCATATATTATTATTTGCTATCAATTTTGTTTCACAACAAGACTTAATTATATCCAATGCATAATGCGCATTGTATACTCCTTTAAAAAAAGTGCATTGTACACTATAGGCAGTGGCAGACTCAGATATTTTCGGAAGGGGACGCAGAATACCTTTTTAACCACAAATAGATTGACCAGTTTCGATTTCAAGCGATGCAACATCTGTAAATTATAGATATAGTTCCCAAGTTCAAATCAACAAAACAATTCTAAACAATAGTTTTTAGGTTTTTGAAACAAAAACATAATTTGAATTAGAACTGAATCATCCCTACATTGCTTTTAAATTGGGATTTGACTTCTGCTTACTTTTTATTTATACTTTAAATGATCATAATTTCAGTTCAATACATTCAGGTTTACTCTTCCTTCAAGTCTTCAACACAACCCCATGTAATAATCTAACTTTACAAATTGAAACTTTATTATATTCAAGAATGGCACTGATTTATCACGAATTGAGCTTTTTCTCACGACTCTGTTAAATTTTTCATGACATATATTTTGGCTCGGGTTTGGCAAGGATATGCTTATGAGTAGCAAACCCTTGAGGAAACCCTTTTCAGAGCCATTTTGTTGCAAGATATTTAGGCATTGTGTTTGAATTCATTATTCAATACTATTTTTGTTAAAGATTCGAATACTTGTTGAATAATTTGAGCACAAACTTGTTAACAATCATACACCAGACTTCTACATTCGAGCATATTTATTGAGCTTAACTATCAAGTGATCAAATCAATTCAAACATTGAACATCTATTGAACCGAACTAAAGCCTCATTTGTATAGCTCGTTGAGCTTTGAGCTAGAATCCAGGTG